CCATTTTTTCCTTAAAACTGTGGGTTTTTTTTGGAAGTTTTTCCTTGTACGATGTGAGGGTCTAAGGACAGAGGGTGTCGTATTGTCATACTGATATTCTGTACAAACTGTGAAGTCCACTGAGACAAATGTAACATTTGTGATATTGGGCTATACAATTGATATATATTATACATTGATTGATTGATGAAAAACAGCATAATAGGGGACCTTTAACATCGTGTAAAAAGCAAAATGTTTGATCAAGTTTCAAACATTTGTCTCTGCAAATACTGCTTTAGTTGTAATTCCTACCTCTTTATGAGCTCTGTAGAGGAGAGTTGAGTGGGCTCTGGACCTCTTCTTTGTCTGTGGAGGAATCCTGCGTGTTGCGCGGGCAGAAGCCTTCATTTTCTGTAACAGTTTTGTAAAAAAAATCACAGCTTTAAGAAGAAATCAACTGAAGAGCTTTACAGCAACTTTTTCAGCAGGCCAGCAGGAGTGAAGTCAGGATAGGAAAGACGAGTTAAAAAGGCTGTTTTAAATTAACACAGATTGAAGACAGCTGTGCCTAATTAGGCTTAATTACTCTCACCCAGCAGGCCCAGAGTTCAGACAGCCAGAAGGAGGCAGTAATGCAACACTTTGGATGCAAACTGCCGTAAAACACCAAATAAGAAGAAGAGTTCAGACATGTTTGTCCTGAGAGTCTACAGAGGACAGAAAATAATTTAACCTTCTGACCCAATACAATGCTGCGCTTGTTTATGACTTTAAAATGCTCAACATGATCTGATTTGAGAGATAATTGTATAAGTCGAATCATTATCATTATAGTTCTTATGATTTATTTATTTTCTCTCATTTTAAAGTGTACATTTTAATCTCTTAACTGTGACAAGTTGTTTATTAACTTGAATATAAAGGAGGTCAAAATACAAGCAGATTTTATTCAAAAGGACACTTTTTAAAATGGGTGTTAAAGGTGTTTATCTTTATGGGACCATCCTAACATTTGATTAATTTCTGTATCAACGATACTGAATAACTGATACTGACACATCAGTTAAAACATAAACAAGCATTCAAGACGAGAATACCTTGAACTTTAACCTTTGGCTATGGATGATTGTTTAGTTTAGTTTATTTATGTATAGTGTCGTGGACAGTCCCCATCAATGAACTGTCACAAAAACAGTAAACGGTGCAGCTTTAGCCGACATGGCTAATTTCCAGCTGTTGAGTAAGATATGTGCTCAGTAGGGCTTTTACAGTTTAAAAGTAAAGAGACGCTACTAAACGTTTTTCTCCTTCACTATACATACATTATAATGATAACCATTAAATAATACAGTTTTTGATTCTTACATTTTCTTTCTTTTTTCATTTTGTTAACAATTATCACAATACTAATGAAAAATGTAGCAACATACAATGAAGAGCAATACAGTCAGACAAAAGTCAACCGTCTGGTCAATCATATGGATCAAAAGGCCCAGCATAAACCATCACTGCCTTCCAACAAAACACACACACACACACACACACACACACACACACACACACACACACAA